GTAGTTTTTCTCTCATTTTACAACACGTTATCAGCATGAATTTGCTCAAAAATCTCAGAATCCTTGTTCTTCTCAGAAGGTATATTTATTTAATTTTGTTCATAAACAAACTAAAATATTTTTTTAGAAACTATGAGAAGTATGCTCTGTGATTGCCCGAATTGTGGCAGTGTATATATTGTGGCATTGTATTTTAGACATTGAATTTTTGGCAGTGCATATATTGTGGCAGTATATTTCAGACATTGAATTTTTGGAAGTACATATTGTGGCTAACATTATGGCATTGTATATATTGTGGCAGTGTAGATATATTGTGGCAGTGTAGATATATTGTGGCAGTGTATATATAATAAAAAAATTTTTAATTAAGGGTAATATTGGGAATTCATCTCAAAAACTTATAGCACTGCTATTTTGCGTATTATAAGCCTATTAAAGTGCTATATTCGTATTTCTCCCTTTTACGAATAATTATTTTTTGACATTCTGTCATGTTGGTGTTAAATTGAGGATTAAAAGTATAATTTCACAATGACTATATACCTTTATTGTCAAAACCAATACGAGAGGTCATTGCTGACGTGTTTTTTGTTAACTGAAGTTAGGGGTGAGCGTTGTACGGTATTTAGCTCGTACCGATACCGTACCAAATATTTTGGTTCGGTATGGGATTTTACGTTGTACCGATCCCGATCTCAAAGCATCGGTTTGGTATGGTTCGGTATCGGTTTCGGTACGAATCGGGATGAATATATACGTAGCTAGTTTACATCATAAAATGTAAAAAAACCTTATATTTTTGAAAAACCAAAAGTACATTTAATCAAAGAAAGATAAAAAAATTAAAAATGAAAAAATAAAATGCAAAAAATGCTTATGAAAGTTAGTTTATATTTCACAAACTAAAGAGAGAGTGACAACAAAGTATTATTTTAAATATTTGTTAATATTCTTATACTCATCTACCAAAAATAAAAAAAACTCTTATTAAAGTGTAACTTAAACATAATGAATTTAAACTAAATTGTCTATATAAATTTTTTATTTAATGAAAAATATAAAAAGATTCGTATTTTTATAATATAATAGTATATATGTTCGGTTCAGGATTTTTTGTATGGGAAGTAAACTCGTACCGTTCCCAAATACCGGACCGACCGTTCGGTACGGTACGGTTCGATTTCCTTTAGGTACTTTATCGGTTCGGTATTTTTCGGTTCAATATTCTCGGTTTTTTCGAGAAATATCGGGATCAGTTTGATCCTTGCTCACCCCTAACTAAAGTTGATATCTATTACAACCATAGTCTATAGATATCTTCTCTGTTAGAAATCCTAATCCACAGTCGTTGTCATTATTGTTGTGTTGTCTATCAAGCCCACATCAGAATACGTTACTAGACATAGAGTCAATGTGAAATTATATTTTAAGTTCTTGATTTAACACCAACATGATAAAATGTCAAAAAAATATTAGTCATTCAAAGATATCCATAAAAAAAGACTACAACGTAATATTTAATAATAGAAAACTAAATCATATTTCTCTAACATTATGTTTGGTTCAAGGAATTTCGAAGGCAAAGAATAGAAAATGAGTTTCTCTCATTTTTCTCACCAAAATGAGAGCAGTTTGGTTTTTCCTCCTCCTAGTACTATTTGTCTTCTCATTTTCTTTTCCTTTTCTTTAACCAAAAAATAAAATTATTTTTAATCTCATTTTCTTTTCTTTTCCCTTTCTAATTCCTTGAATAATCAAACATAGTATAAAACATCAATTATAGAATTTATTTCTCTCTCTTTTTGTAAATTAAATGAGTAAGTTCACAAAATGGTTCATTGTAATAAGATACTAGCATTTTGACCCGTGCCATGCACAGGATGGAACAGATTTTTTTGTTATTTTTCATAGTGACAAAAATTTTCAAATATCAAACAACATAAAACTTATAGAAGTCGCTAATGAAAATTCTACTATATACAATTGAAAATTAACATTTCAAAGTCCTAATTTAAATTAGAATATTTTGAAAAATGTTGAAGTATACAATATTTTTTTGTGAACTTATAAAGATTACAAAAGACATGTAAAACTAATAATTTCAACTTTAGTTTTACTCTCACTTGTGAAATAATTATATAAATTTAACAATAAGTGAATATCAATTTGGTAAAAACAATATTATTAATGCCAATGTTTGACATTAACTTTTTTAATAATGATAAGTCATAACGAAACATAAGCTACTGAAAATTATATTCTTTGAAACTTCTAAAGTAATCCTGTATGAAATGATATATGGAATATAATTCGCTAGTATTATTACCCGTGCCACGCATGGGGTGGATTTTCTGCATAACTTTTCTTACGATTGCGTAGATGAAAACGTAGAAAGTAAGTCCTTTCTCATTCAAAATTTCCTAAAGTTATGTATAAAAATTTTGAATTGTAACACAATATAATTAGTATGCACTCTATAAATTGTAATTTACAATATAAGATTATTTTGATTAAAATAGTAAATCAAGTGACCAAGATAAAGTATAAAAGTCTTATTAATTTTTTTCTAATTTGTTTATTTTAAATATTCGATATTTTAAAAATCGTCAAATTGTATGGAAATACTTTTATTTCATATCATAATCAGTCATCTTACCATAAAGAAAGTTCTAGGTAAGATATGCATTGAGTCAATCTCATAGTATATGTATTATCCATTTGTCTAAAAATAAAGTATATAATCATGACACTTATAATTCTCTTAGAAAATATAGTCTTAAGTCTTTTAGTTACCTAATTATAAACTATAAACTTCTTTGAGTAATCTCAAAATAGTCTTTTCGAATAAGGTATTTCCCAAAATCAGTGTTATTAAGCATTAATTATCTATGTAGAACTTTTTAGTTGAGATTTTTCACTCAGTGTCCTCCGTATATGTTTGTTAAATGGATGTTCAGTGGAAAAAATTTAGGTATTTTCAACATTTAAATATAGAGTAATTTTTCAAAATGACCCTTTCGAATTAACCTTTTTCCAATTAAGGTCTTCGTTATAATAATTATAATTTTAATCCAATTGTGGATTTAGGGGTATCTTAATATTTTGTGTCCCTCTATTAGTCACTCATGTTCATGTTAGTAAATTTCAAATGAGGATGACCTCAACTTTGATTCACCACTTCATATCTATGTAGAATTTTGATAAAATTCACATATGAAAAATACGTGCTTCGTTATTTTTGCTAATATTATTTTGTTGTATATATCCCATGCGAATAGTTTTTTGTTTTTTAAATGTAGTAGTTGTGACTTTAATGAAGTCAAAAGTGATATACCTATGATTATTTTAAAATGTTTTTGTAATTTTTCATTGTGAAAACCATGCAACTATATTTGTTTTGCTATTCAAAAATAAATTCATATCAAGTTAAAAAACTTTTGGATATAAAATACATGTGATTATTTTTACGTGATAATTTTTTAAAAGTTTTTGTGAAAAATGTAACTATTATTTTAGAAAATGATTTTAAAAATGTATATTATTATTTTAATTATTTTAGAAGTTGATTTTATAAAATTTTTAATAAAAAAATGAATTTTAGTTCTTACTCAATTGCATTAAATTTCATGTAGGTTCTAATTTATTCAATAATACTTCCTCTGTGTTTGGATTTGATCTTCTCAATTAACTTTTGTTATCAGTTTTATATATTTTAACCTCGATATATAGAACAAACATTATCTTTTGATAGAAATGCATTACCAATAACTTTTTTGAAACTAAGGAATCTCTTAATGTTTGGTAGCTCCTATTTTAGAGATAAAAAAATATGCATTTTTATTTTGGTATTTTCTCCATGCTTATTCCTATTTTGGTACAGAACATTTTCCAAAAAATTATAGCGACACTGAACATAAGACATATACTCTGTATACAACTTAAATTGGATATAACCATATTTTGATTACAATTTCCACGTCATTCAATCGTTAATAAGTGGCGGGTGATTTGTTAAACTGTTGCCATGTAGATTCGTCACTTGTCGCAATTCTAGGAGTTTAACTCTCAATTTTAATATATAAAGATATTTCTTTATAAAAATACTCTTATTTCAAAACAAAATTTTTATCATTTACAAACATTGTTTATATCAAAAATAAATACTTTTAAAGACTATCAATACTGTAATGTGAATAAATATAATATTTCAAATAAAATTTAAATCTTGATAGATTTTTTATACTCCCTATTACATATTTAAGGAAATTTTAATTATTAAAAAAGTTATTGAACACATTAAACCACAAAGTTTTCATATTAAAAATTATCTAATATACATAAATCCATAATGCACTAAATTTCTTTAATAAATTTCTCATCTTTAATTAGTGGTATAAGATGAGCTACTCCAAAGTATATTTTAGCATAATAAATTTTCATACAAAGGAATAAATTAATAATTTAAAAAAATATTTTACTCAAAAGACTTTTAATATTATTTTTGTTTTTATGAAAAACACCCGAGCTAATCATGATTAGTTTCTTTTTTATGATTAATTTAATTTAATTTTTGTTGAAAAATTACATTTATTTCATTTACATAATTTTCAATAAATTCAAAAGTCCATAATTTTCTAAATATAAAATATATTGTTTTAAATTCATCATATTTTAAAGGTTATCATAAATAAATTTTTATAAATGATGAATGAGCATTTAAAGCATGTCATGTAATTTATTCATGTGCTATGCCATTTAAAAATTGTCATGTAAGATGACACATGTCAACTTCTTGGGATAATTATTTTATTTATTTTCATGATTTATGATGTTTTATGATAACTTCATATGATAAAAATATATATACACATATTTTTTTATGTCTGCACATATTTTTGTGTGTCTACACATTTATTTTGTATATAAAAATGTCTTATACTTTCAAAGATCAATAGAGAAATAAAATATAAACATAAAAAATTAGGAAAAACTATATATAATGGATCGAATATTCGGATAAACGGTTATTTAAACGGATGCGTATTCGGATCAGATTTTAAACGGATCAGATATACAATTACCAAATCCGTATGCATTTAGTTATTGGATATCCTGAATCGTATACGGATAATATTTGTTTAAAACTGATGCCTCTGGGACTGTAATAGGATTTTCGGCTTTTACTCCTAGTAGCCACAGGGACTTTAAGGCAATCAGTAGGGACGTATTTCCAAATTCCAATTCCTCGTCCCCTCTCTCTATCGAGAATCGGCCGCAGAGTTCCCGCTGCAAGAGTTCCGGCAAATCAGCTATCAATTCGTCCAGTCGTCCTCTCTGCCGTAGCCACTAGCGGTAAGTCCCAATTCCCAAACCTAATTTCATAATTTTTATAGTTTAATTTCTTTTTTGATTTGAGTGTCAAGGAGCCCATTCAACCAAAAGATCAAGCTTGTCGTTGTGGTGCAAGAATGATTGTTTTATATACTCTAACACTCCCCTGACCTCTTTGAGCCTTGCACTTGAAACATTAATTTTTTTTAAAATTGTGTGGCACTGAGTTTCGAACTCGTGACCTCTTGGTCATCAAGGCTCCGATACCATGTCAAGGAACCATCTCAACCAAAAGCTCAAAACCAAAAGCTCAAACTTGTGGTTGTGGCACAGGAACAGTTATTTATATTAGGTCACGCCTGCACGTGAGGGAGCGTGTTAGAGTATATATATAACAATCATTCCTAGGCCACAACCACAAGTTTGAGCTTTTGGTTGAGATGGTTCCTTGACATGGTATCGGAGCCTCGTTGACTAAGAGGTCGTGAGTTCGAAACTCAATGCCACCCAGTTTAAGAAAATTAGGGTTTCACGTGCAAAGCTTGAAAAAGACTAGGTCTGCACGTGAGGGGCGTGTTAGAATATAAATAACTGTTCCTGGGCTACAACCACAAGCTTGAGCTTTTGGTTGAGATGGTTCCTTGACATTGAGTATGAAGTTTCAATTCTCAACTCTCAAATCTCAATTGTATAGTTTCAAATTGCATTCCTCCACTCAGCATTTGGATGATTTCATAGTTCAAACTCAATAATTACTCAAGTGATTGCTTCATCCATAATAAGTTGTAGTAATAATGGTAAAGAGAGGAAACAGGAAAAAAACAGATCAGATTCAAAGAAAATTAGAGAGGAAAGATTAGACTTGTGGTTAATGGAGTACTGCTCGGTTATTAGTGACTAGAGAAAACAAAGAAGCACGCTCTCAGGATTGTGTCTGTAAGGGGCTAAGGGGTGATGATGAGAGATGACTACTGTTCATTGTCTAAAAAGGCCAAAAACAATGAAAGGGCTAGATTAGGATTTTAAGTGCAGGGATTGATGCCCAAAAGCTTTAAAATAGCCTTCAAAGTAAAAAAACTTAACCCACTATAAAGTGCGCGTGTGTGATTTTCTTTATATTTTTACTCTTTTAACCCCTTTTTTGTTAGTAGCTCTGGTGATAGTGGTGTTACTTTTCTTGTGATAATTCTTATGGGAAATGTTGATGTGCTAAGCTTACAATTTCTAGCTGGCATTTGTTAATTGGTGATTGACATATGTATCGATTGCAAACTTACAGTGCTTGGTATCATTCTTCTACCTGTAAATCTATATTCTCACTTGATCCAAAAGCTTTGACAAACACATAAGAGTAAAGAGAATATACCATCATGGGTTATGCACAGCTAGTTATTGGCCCTGCTGGCAGTGGAAAGGTGCAGAGATCGTTATTTTCATTTTCTTTAGAATTTCTTACTTGTTAGCAAGTTTTGCATCAAGGACTAAGTATAAGTAATTTTCTTGTGGCAGTCAACTTACTGCTCAAGCTTATATCAACATTGTGAAGCCACACGCCGAACAGTGCATATAGTGAACTTAGATCCTGCGGCAGAGAATTTTGACTATCCAGTTGCTATGGGTGAGTTGGTGACTTGCTGTAGATTATTTTGATTAATTTGGAAATTCTTTCCTTCATTTTTTTTAAATTGAAAATTGGATTTTTTATTTGATGCAGACATCAGGGAATTGATTTCACTGGATGATGTCATGGAGGAATTAGGTCTAGGCCCTAACGGCAGCCTTCTTTACTGCATGGAGTATCCTATTTTTTATTCCTATTATCACCCCACAATTCTATGGCTCTTCAGTTTGCTTTTGACTCTTTTGAGCAATCCAGATTCAGTGGATCTCATGAATTATGATAACTTCAAACAACCTGTACAGTAAAATCCCACTATTGGGATCTGGGAGGTGGGGTGTACGCAGACCTTAAAGCTGCCTAGAAAAGAGAGAATTTGTCTCTGAAAGACCTTAGCTCAAGCACAAAAGACACATGTTAGTACAATTCACCAAGTAAACCAAATAGAGAGAGAAAAGGGAACCAAGCAAGCGCCTCACTCTACCTAACTAAACCTCACAACATACATTGGCTTATCATAACTTAATGAGCCATTATCACTGCTTCGCTAGAGTTTATAATGATTGCTCTTTCAAGATATGAATGCCCTTAATATTGAATGTCAGACACCTTGAAGAAAATCTGGATGACTGGCTGACAGAAGAGTTGGAAAATTATTTGGAAGATGACTACCTAGTTTTTGACTGCCCTGGTAATGGATACATTTACATAATTTTGTATAATGGAAAGGGAAAATGACCAAGTTAGTCCCTCAACTATGATTTTTTGGCAAGTCTGGTCCTCGTTTTCTTTTGTTTCTTCTTATTTTAAATCTTTTTGTCACTAAACTATTTTTGTGTAGCTAAATTGGTCCTTTGTCCAAAACTGCACTATTTCAGGCAAATCGAAGGCATATGCTGAGATGAAATAGTCAGTTTGTATTTTTTTCATAAGCCAATCCATGTCAAATAGAACAATAAAAAAAGGTTCCAAAGCCTTCAATCCCTTTAAAAAACTAAAGTGTGATTTGACATGGTTGGAGTGACAAAAAATTAAATCAACTATTTTATCTCTGCTGGTATAGACTATAGTCATGTGCCCAATGCATGCCTTCGATTTTCCTGAATGGTGCAAAATTGGACAGTAGGGTCAACATGAAAAGGATTTAGAGACCAAAGAAGGCTTTTTAAAAAGAAGGAAAAAAGTACTAAACTGGACAAAAATTCATAATGAAGAGACTAAATTGGCCATTTTCCTAAAATGAAAAGATTTAGCTACTGGCCGATGGCTTCTTTGGTGGAAGTTCGTTGAACCCAAATGCTTGTTTGACCTACTAGCTACACAGTTTATTTCCTCTTATCAAATTCAAGAAGCCATAAGTTGGGCCAGATTGCCTTTTCTTTTTGGAGCATATATGAAGCAAATTTCCTCCTTTTTTATATTCCAGAAAGTTTGCTCATTCATTCTAAATAATTTTAAAAAACGGATTATGTTTTAGAAAGTTCTGCAAATATTATATCTTAAATCAGATTTTGGCCTCTCTTAGTTATTTACTTATTTGAGCGTAAGTGCTGAACAAGCGCTGACACATTGCCTTCAAAGACTTTCTTTTAGAATTTTTCTGGGATCAACATCTTCAATGTTCACAACTGCTGCAATTGTTTGCAGGTCAAATTGAACTCTTCTCACATGTTCCTGTGCTAAAGAATTTTGTGGAATATCTGAAGAACAAAAATTTCAATATCTGCGTAGTTTATTTACTTGATTCTCAGGTATGCACACCTTTTGTCAAATGTTCTTCTGCTCTCCCTTTACTCTTTATACAGCATAACCTTTTGTTTGAAAATAAGTCATTGCATTGTGACTTCTCAGTTTATCACGGATGTTACCAAATTTGTAAGTGGTTGTATGGCTTCTCTCTCTGCAATGATTCAACTTGAATTGCCTCATGTCAACATCCTGTCAAAAATGGACCTGGTGACGAATAAAAAAGGCATTGACGAGTAAGTCTGCAATCATTATTTGCTTTTACTCTTATTAGTTTATTCCGCAGTGGTTTTTTTGACACCAAGCCTTGGTGTCATATTTTGCGACCAGGGTATTGGGGGCCCTACGGTGCTCCATTGGGCCTTGAAGTGGGTCCTACCTTCTAATCCCCCACAAACCCCTGCCACCAACCCCATTAGACTGTAGCAAATTGGCTCAGGGAGGTTATACCGTTATAGAGGGTAGGACCCATTTTGGGCTCAACAAAGCACTGTAGGGCCCCAGTGTCATAATATGACACCCAAACTTGGTGTCAAAAAAATTTCACCATAATTTATTATTGTTCATGTCACAAACCAAAAATGTGGTGTTTAACTTTCATCCTTCAAAAATCTTGTAGATACTTGAATCCAGATCCTCAATTTCTTTTGGCAGAGCTGAATCGGCGCATGGCACCACAATATCGAAAGCTCAACAAATCTTTAATTGAATTGGTAAGAGTGAAGAGTCCTTTTTTAATGAATGATTTGATTTTATCTTTCCCTCCCTAAATGCCCTAGTGGGAGCCTCGTGCACTGGGCTGCCCTTTATTGGGATTTGTTTGTAAAAGCTTTCCGTTTACTTTAGACCCAGAATTTCGGTGCGTGGGGCTTAGTAAAATTTTTTATTACTCCCTCCGCCCAACAAAAAGGTTCCACTTTTGGAAATGTTTTTTGTGGCTTATATTATTTCTCTCCACAGCACCCCTTTCAACCATAATTTCACTTTTCTTAATCTCTGTGCCTACTCAAATGCGGAATGTTTTTGCGAGACGGAGGGAATAACAAATTGCATAATATCACTATTCTTTTATTTCAGTACCCGTACACATTATTTTAGTCTTAGAAGATGCGTTGAAACCAAGTGAAGCAAGGACTTGAATTCAAAAAATGCGGAGTACTAAATATGTCTCTAAACATAGATTACCAAACAACAATTCAACTCAAAATTTGTATTTCACAACGAAACACATTTGTTTAATATTGTATTTGAAGTGTTATCAGATCATTTTATAATTAGTACAATCAAAGAAATTGAAATATTTTCACTACACAGGTTATCTTAAACCATAATATTATAATACTCCGTAATATGTATTCCTTAAAGATAATACAGTCTACCTGCAAATATATATACCGTAGTACTTAACAAATACTCCCTCCGTCCCAAAAAGATTGGTACATATTGACTTTTTGGGAAATTAAGGGAGGGATATTTTGGTGTTGACTTTCCAAAAATACCCTTGATGTGATGGGTAAAAGTAGGATGTGATGGGTAGATTATTAGGAAAAAGGTATGATGGTAGGGTATGAAAAAGTAAGGGGTAAAAGTGGTTTTTAATAGAAATGTAACGGACTTTACGGGACGCAGTTTTTTGAAACGTGTCGGACTTTTTGGGACGGAGGGAGTAGTATATTCTACGTGGAGGTTTGCAGTGTCCCATGACCCAAGGTCAGTCCAACCCTTCTTCCATCTAATAACTTTTTTGTACCCATTCACACAATCATACTATCCACACAAAAAATATACGAGGTTGCTCCTGTTTGTTCAGCATGCTGTCTCTCAATCTCTCAATCACTTTTTGTTATCTGAGTTTATAATGTACTCGTTCTGCCAACAACAAATCTAGTATAATCTCAACTCCGTTGGGGTTCGGGGGGGGGGGGTGTCAAGATGCAGGCAACCTTACCACCTGTAAAAAAGAGGCACTTGTTGTGCACATCCGATTTCTCCCTTTTCTTTTATGTTGTACTCCGCAAGTTATATTCTGGAAACTCTTGAAGTAAACTACCAATTACCAAGTAACCACCCAACCAATAGATGCAAATTTTTGTCTATCTTTTGTATTTTCAAATTTCAAGTGCTTCTGCATGTCATTATTAGTTATTCCTTATTACACACCAACATGGAAATATGTGTGTATCCACCATGTATGCTGTTTTGCTGAAATAAAAGGTGTTTGTGCTTGGCTTGCAGATTGATCAGTATAGCATGGTTGACTTTCAGCCTCTTGATTTGAGGAAGGAGAGCAGGTAAAATTGATTGGATAAAATTTCATGGATGGGTTGAAACCAATCCACTAGTCCAATAAAATCTCATTAAAATCTAATCCATCCACGATCCTATTAAAAAGATACATCCATCCAAATGATCGATTTTCTTTAAAAATAACTTTTTTTAAAAAGACAGATCATCTTGATTCTCTTTGTTGTGCAGTATACAATATATCCTGTCCCAGATTGACACCTGCATTCAGTATGCCGAGAATGCAGATGTGAAGGTGAAAGACTTTGACCATGAGGACGCCGATGATGATTAGTCTTTTTTGGCCGTTTCAGTCAACCCTAAAAGGGCCTTTTGTAACCTAGGAAACCCCAGAAAATGACCGGATTAAGGACTCTCCTACGATTGTTGTTTATCGCTATTAACTCGGCTCTATGATGAAGGCCATCACTTTGTTGCTCGTTTTGTGGATGTAGAAGTGGTCTCGTATTTTTGTGCAGATTGTGGTTTCCATTGGATCTAGACTGCTTTCAACTTTTTCTTCAAGAGATTTTTTTGGATACCTAATTTGTCATTTTTATGTGTTGAGGGTGGTTTTTGTTCGTAAAGTCATCGGGTGTTTTACACATTTTTTGCCCAAGTTAATGAACATGTTTTTTGCAACAAAGTTATATGGTGTTTTACATCTTATTTCCAGTCTCTAAGTATCTCTTGAGAATAGCGCACCGTTTTAGATACTCCATTGTTGCCACAATTTAAGGTGCCCCTACAACAATTCTGGGGCATGTTGCGTGGCAAATTGAAGTTTTTTATATTCATACAATGAAATATCAAGTGCATTCTGAATATCTATCGAGCTTGGTCTTCTTGAGAACATATAAGAGCTATTGTGGTCCTTGGATTAAGTGAACTTCTAAATGAGACTATAACTCTTTTTCCTATACTAACGCTGTACTAACGCGTTGATCCAACAGCTATTGTTGCGATTGACCTCCGAACAACATAAATCCTTCTCAATTTCTTTCATAGGGAAATAATCATCATCAATCTTTAGGGCAATATGAATAACACTTGAAGAAGTTGTGCCACCTATTATATCTTCACTTGATTATTGCTTGTTTCTTTCTAACATGTCTTATTTATAAATATTTTCTCAAACACAATTCCATATATTTCACTTTCTTTACTCCCTTTGTCCTAAAAAATCTTTAAAACTACAACTTTACTATTAGAATACTAGAGGGGTGAACCCCACAAGAGTACGATAAATTATGGAAAGAATAAGAAAAAATAAAATGATTTTATCCTAATTCACCATAACTTGTGGCTAAACTAGTTTTCTAATGACTCACTCGATATTTTTCTTGCCTATCATACTTACTAAGTGTTTTACAACTTGTTATACCCACTGGCGGGTGAATCCTCATTACAAGTCTTCAACTACTTATACATCTTAATTTTCACCCAAGGTTTCAACTGCTTGAACTCCTCTCTCAAAATTTTGCCCCGCTAAAATTACAAGTTCTTAGCAACCGAGATATAAAAAGAAGATTAATCTTCTTCAACTCTCTCTCATTACAAAACTCTCTCAAACAAGAGATGAAAGGGACAATTTAACTCTATGACCAACACTTATTGATTTCTTAAAGATAAATGTGTAAAGAAAATAGAATGGTCAAAGCTTTGGATTGGGGAGAAGTGTTGTTGATCAAAATGGTGTTTAAAAGCCTCAATTTATAGCTAAAAATGTTAATAACCTTTGTAAATAATTTGGTATGAAAAGATATCATATAGCATTTGCTAAATGTAGATAAAATGGTTGAAAATGAATTTTGCAGTTAGACAATCAATTTTCATTCAAAAATTTACCCATTGTAGCTTAACAATAGACATAAAACTGATTTTCTAAAAGTTGTAAAAACCTCCTATTAGAAGGACAATCAAATTTTGATACTTGTTGCGTTGTATTCCGATTCAAGAATTCAATGTCAATCAATTATTCTGTCATGACAATCGACTGATGACCTATTTTATATTTTGAACATAAAATAAAAATATGTTTGAAGTAAAATTGAATTTTAGCCATGAAATATAAACAGCATTGTCCTTACAAGTAGATTTGGCAAAACTGACCCGGACCCAATAACTCAAACCGAACCCGAATTGACCCAAAAACTAAAGAACCGAAATAGAACCGAACACCCGAAATGATCCGAACCGAACCCGAACCCGAACCGAATATATTCAGACCTAATTCAGACCCAAATCCGATTAAACCCGAACCGATTAAACCCAAACCTGGTTAAACTCGAACCCGGTTAAACCCGGAACCGATTAGACCCAAAATTGCTCAAATTCATTAATATTTCATTTAACAAATGAATTTAGAGAAAAAGAATTACCTATATATTTTTACATATGTTGATGTGTTTCTAAAAAACATATTTAAATTTTGAGTGCAAACCATGTAACTACTTTCATGTACAAATCTTTTACTTTGTATTTTATAACTTAAGTTAAAATATTTTTGTATTTTTATAGAGAGTATATAAAAATTATAGTTACATCGTAATACATATTTTTTGTAAAGAATTATGATACCAAAGTGGATTTTGTTTTTTTAAATATGCCAACTAACACACTATCAACAATACTTGAGCATAAACCCAAATAATGAATGGTGTCACAATCATTTGGCAAAAACTTATGATTATGTAAATGAATAAAACAACAAGCTAACCGACATTACTTAGTATAAGCTAAATAAAATATTTCTTCTCCAAAAATTATGAATGAGTAAAAAAATATTGAACCATCCTAAAGAACTTTTTTAAAACACAAATCTTGATTTTTGTGGATACACTATCCAACAAACAAAATACAGCATTCTAGTGACAATTTAGAACCAAATTATTATCCAAATATTAAAATAAAATACCCAAGTCCATCTAATGGTAGAATACTCAATACAATCTTTAGTAGTTGTCCAAAGAGCACTGCCAGAATTCAATATATATCCTGAAAAGTTTTAAAGAAACAAATTAAATGTAGTTGATGAGAGAAGTGAATAATAAAAAAATCAAGTTCTAACATTGGATCACATGCAATCATTTCTTCAGGCCACCAGAATTTAGAATCCACATAAATATTTAACTCAAAGTTGCCTCCAACAAACAAAAAATTCCACTCATCAAATGATACCTCTATAGTTCCGTTGGAAGTATTTGCATTCCAATGCACATCAACGCCAGAAAACTTGTCTTTTGTATTTTCTACACATCAATACATATTATTGTGTTATTTTATGAGCCAAGTAAACATTAGGACTTTGAAAAAATGGTACCAGATTTAAACATACCTTCGTATCCATACAACCAAGTACGAGCAGTAATCAAGGCCTCCACATTTTCAGGCAAATAAGAACTTCTCCATTTGTTCAAAACCCTACCTCCAATACTAAAAGTTGACTCTGATGCAACAGTTGTTAATGGCACACTCAGAATATCCCTTGCTAAGTAAGATAGTTGTCCATATCGAGACTCATTCCTCTTCCAGAAGTCCAATATATCAAAATCTATTATGTTTGGCTCATTTATTAAATTAAATATATATCGTTTATTAATTAGATAATATAATATTTTAAAAGTATTCGATATAATAAATCTAATAAAACTCTTTTTGTATCAGTATCTAATATCATTTTTATTTAGTTTGAAGTCAAAGTTTACTAATTTTTACTAAAAAAGTCAAAAGTAGACAAATACTCAGCGACAGAGGGAGTATATTTTTATACATAGTTATTCAAATATTTGAAATACAAAATGAAATGGATAGTTAAATAGAAATTTAGGAAGTACGAAGTAAAATGTTAACTAAAAAGGTTGCGCCAAAAACTTTAAGAGGGAAAACTTTAGAATGTAAACAATTAGTCAATTATGTACGTCCGTGTTAAATAATAAAATAACTACGGAGTATGTCATAAATTAACTAAATTTATTATGTGATATTATTCATTTATTAGTATGTGTTTACATTATACTTGAACTAATATAAATTTAAACCGATACAATTTCAAATCTATATAAACCCAAATCGATATAAATCTGAACCGATACAAACCCGAACCGATATAGACCCGAACCGATACAAACCTGAACCGTTACAAACCCGAACCGAAACCGAACCGAAACCGAAAACCAATCAAACCGAAATAAACCCGGAACCGAACTGACCCGAACCGAACCGACCAGAAACGATTATAACATATATCCGAAAGAGACCCGAACCGAAAAGACCCGAACCGGAATCGAACCGATTGACCCGATTTCCAGGTCTACTTACAAGAGTTTTAACTACAGACCTAAGCATTTAGGTCTTCGGTTTTACATTCTTGGTCAATATTTGCTTGTTTCTCTTGAATACAGCTTGACTTCTATGACGTTGTTCCTGAAATAATTTAAACTTTGTTTGTCAAAATATACGTAATTTATTATTTGTCATTTATCAAAACTTATAGTACGAAGTCATTCAAATAAACGCATAAAATTTAGGACCATGCTAGGGTGCCCCACATGGGTGCTACCATGGGTGCACCCATGCTTCGCACAGACAAACACAGACGATAATTGTGTGTGCGACACAAACAATAATCGTCTGTGTTTGTCTGTGCGAAGCATGTGTGCACTCATGGTAGCACTCATGTGGTGGCACTCTAGCATTTTCCTAAAATTTATTCGTGCATAGTTCAATGGTTTCCACAATTCCACCTAAAATACAACACCAGCAAGAGTTTCCTTCCTCGTTTTTTCCTCATGTTAGTTTTAAACTCATTTTCATTACCATCATTAGAATAAGGCATATAATCATCTTCAAACTCAAGTCTTTTTTATGACATCAAACATAAGTCATAAAAATGTCTTTTCGTATTTAGAGCTTGCTCTCTTCACTTGATCTTATTGATTCTAATTTTATTGGAATAAGTTCTGATAAGATATGATTGTAGTTATATTTAAAGTTCTTTTGATCTGATTTTGTCTGATCTAATAAAATTTCTCATTTACGACTAAAAATCTAGAAAAAGTTCAAAATCTTCTTGACCAACCTCATCATTAACCCAATGTGCATTTGAGACTTTTAGAGTAAAGGCCTTAGTTTTTTAGGACTTTTCTATTTGAACTATTTAGTTCTAATTTGAATTTAGTAGATCTGATTTGATCTAGCTTTTTTACTTAGTCTTAATTGTTTTAATTCAATATGTTCTGACTCTATTTAAAGTAAAAATTATAAAGTATTTTTTATATGATCACATTTTAATAAAAACAAATAATACGGAGTACGAGTAGTACATACTCCCTCCGTCCTAGTGTTTATGAGCTTCAATTAAATAAACTGTAATATGTTTTAACATGAAAATGATATTATTATACTTACCTTTTGAGAATTTTCAAAATTAAGAGTAACTGAACTTCATATATATGTCTAGTTTAATTCAAAAAAATCAAATTAAACAAATAATAGGTCAAACATGTTTTATAAGCTTAGGCAATTTTGCTTAAATCCATATCGCCCGAATTTTGGTTTTTTGGGAAACTTTGGGGTCCGGACTTGCACACCCTAACTGCAGCCAAAAATTTCCAGTATATCTCTTCCCCTCCTTCCTCCCTCCCTCCAGACCCATCCGAGTGCAGACCCTGAAAGTAGACAAAATTTAAGAATAGAAACCTAAATTTCCAGTTCAAATTACACAAAATTTACCTGAGAAGTTGTTTGGTTTTCTTTTGAGAAAAAAAAACCACTCTTCACTGATGTGAAGATTTGGGTCACACGGAAATGCCTGAAGTTAAATCGGAGCTGACGCCGGAGGAAGAGAAGCTGTGTATCAGAGACATTTCTGTTGCCGCCGAAGCTCAGACCAAAGAAGGCGATGCATTCTATTTAATCACTCAGAGGTCAGGTGCCGATTTGAGAAAATCTATGCTTTGTTTAATCTGAAAGCCTTTCAGAAGCATTTTTCTAGGGTTCCATTCCCCCCACAGTTCATGATCTTTTAGCAGTTTATTCTCCCTTTGTTTTGAAAGCAACTGAGATGTTTAGTAGGTGGGGAAATGGCTCAAATGGCGCTCCTTATTCTTACTCAGAGCCTTAAATCTTTCTTTCTAAATGAAAAAAAATCCTAGAGGTAGTACTAAATATTTCTGGATGCCTGGTTCTGAAAATAAACACCAAGGTATGATCTTTATAACTTTTATTTGAAGGAAAATATGATGAACACTATTGATATTTCCGATGTATTCACTAGTAATGACGTACATATGGATTCTAGATTTATGTGTGTTGAAACTCCCTAGTAGGATTTCAATTAGGAAAACAAAGTTTTCTGGAACTGTATGTTATCCTCTATACAGAAACCTTCTAGTAGGATTTCAGTTTGAAATGAAGTTCACATGAGTCGGTGGTCAACTAAGATTTGTGAGGATCTAAGACTTCTTTCCCTTACCAAGGACATGACCTTAGATAGGAGCGTGTGGAGATGGAAGAGCTAGGATTAAGGTGGTTGGATAGATGCTTTAGGCTTAGTGGTAGTTTCTCCCCTTGTGTGCTTTGTATGCTTGGAGCTCTTTTCTTGTCGTTTTTTTGTTTTGTTTAGTTAGTTTGTTCTTGACCTCTGTATGTTTTTTGCTATCTCTGTTATATGTCCTCTCTGATCTTATTTTGTCTATGTTGTTTGAGCTGGGGGGGGAGGGGGGTCTCTTCGAAACAGCCTCTCTACGCTTGAGTAGGGGCAATGTCTGCGTACACACTCTCCTCAAACCCTACTCTCGTGGGATCCAACTAGGTTGTTGTTGTTTTTGTGAGTCAGCGGTCAATTATTATGCCCGGGGGGGGGGGGGATTGATAATCAGTGCAAGTTCATATGCATGATTCAAGAGATTGACTATTTTCATTATTTATTTATAAATATATGGCGATGAAAACATGGTTATATGGCCTTACACTTATGTATTTTCAATTGTTTAGTACAGGTGGTGGCATGAATGGCTGGAATATGTCAACCAAAACCACACTAATACTAGTTCGAATGATGGATCTGCTTTTGAGCATTGTGCATTAAAAAAGCCTTCCAGTATTGATAACTCTGGCATTATATGTGAAGCAAATTCAGAAAGATCTGAAGCTGGAATTGAGATCCGAGATAATCTAGTTGAAGGAACTGATTATATATTGCTTCCTCAGGATGTCTGGAATCAATTACACAAGTGGTAGACTGCCTTCTTCATTTTTCTATGCATTGTGCTATGTGTAATGCTTTTAAAGCACAGCATGTTGATTTTTTTCCTCCATCACATTCAGATACCTCATAACCTGCCTCTTTTTTATTCATTAATTATCAGTGTGCGGGTGGTTTGGGGGGGGGGGAATGATCTTAGACTTGTTCTCATCCAGTTTGTTTACCTTTATATTGGGAGTGTTGAGTTCTCAAAAAAGTTGTTTATAAAACCTTGAGTGGAGTTCTACTATAAAGTTCGATCCTCTTAAATAATGTGTAGACTCGCTATTAGGGAATCATACAATTTGTTTCCTGGTTTCAGGTATGGTGGTGGACCTATGTTGACTCGAAAAGTAATCAGCTCTGGTCTTTCACAAACTGAATTAGCTGTAGAAGTTTATCCTCTATGTCTCCAATTACATCTGGTGCCAAATGATGAGTGCTCTACCATAAGAATAAGTAAAAAGGTATTATTGAGATGCAAAAACTTGCATTTATTTATATTTTGAAGTCGCAGAACAAAATACAAACCAGAAAATACAATATACGAGTAACAAAGAAGAAATGAACTAATGCGCCCGATTCAATTTTCTTTCTTTGAGCAGGAGACAATAGGAGAACTTCACAAAAAAGCTTCCAAAATCTTTAATCTTAATCCAGAACAAGTAAAAATCTTTGTCAGCGTGCTTTATTTTTTGCATCTTCATTTGTCTTTAATAAGTTATGTTTCTACACTTCACAAAGTAGTCACTACAGTTTCTGTGTGTTTCAGGTGTGCATATGGGACTACTTTAGCCATCAAAAGCATGCATTGATGAATGACATGGAAAAAACACTTGATGATGCAAATATTCAAATGGATCAGGATGTGGGTTTTTTTGGATAACCTTCATATTTAAACAAGTACAAGTGTTGTGTCTGCCACGGAAATCAGTTTTGCATTAGGAAATTAAGTCTACATGCATATGCATTTCATGTGTTTTTAGTTACCCTTTTCTCCTTGATGTTATCTCTTGTTTTTATGAACATTAAGACTGGTGATATATGAAACATTTATCCCATGTCTGCATGGAAGAAGTTTATGAAATTATGGTTTTCAGTAAAACATTTTCCATCTTCCTGGAGTTCTGGATTTTCATGTTTGGTCCGCTTTGAGGCATGAAAAAATTTCCATTCCTTGTTTTTACAGTTCTGTTGAAGTGATGCCATGTTTTCAAAAGAGTATGCCGTTTTCATGACAGTTTATATTTTACATAGAATAACTTGCACTTTATGAAAGTGTTTCCTACAAAAATATATTTCCACACCAACTTATTTTTCACTTTTCGGTGATGAACAGAGCCAAATATGTGAACAAATTTTAGTTTGCCTTCATACAGGCAGTATTGTGATTGAAGTTTTACAAATTCACTAGTGAAAAAGTAAATATGTCTCTACTTGTCCAATGACCATGAAGCCTTTGTCCCCTTTTAAGTTATTTGAATATTTATTTCACTCTTATATGTGACCAGATTTTGGTGGAGGTTGTTAGTAATAGTGCTGGGAGTGGATCAACTTTCACTGATGTTAATGGATCTAGACCTAATGGAACAACAACAGCTCACGCAGAACCTTCTAAGTTAAATTTTTCAATTGCTGGAGGCCTTTCTGCAAGCAAAGGTTCATCTCGAAACGGTAATACCGAGCTATCACAGTTGCAGAGCCTGTCTCTTCCGGTTAGAGAGCCAGACAAGACATATGGAACAAGTGGTGTTAGTACAAGGGGATCTGCTTGTGGTCTTACTGGGTTGTTGAATCTTGGGAACACATGCTTTATGAACAGTGCAATACAGTGTCTTGTTCATACACCGGAATTTGCTCGCTACTTCCGAGAAGATTATTATCAGGAGATTAACAAGCAGAATCCTTTGGGGATGGTGGTGAGTTTCCCAAAACTATCAATCATATGCAAAGATTCCATTTAAAGAATCATGCATTTTCCGAGAATCATTTTTTATTGTAAGTCAGCAGCTCCATTAATGCTCTTATTTTACTTATTCTTCTGGCCAATACATCTTATGATCAATACACAGGGTGAGCTTGCTTTAGCATTTGGTGATTTGTTAAGGAAATTGTGGGCACCAGGTCGCACTCCAATAGCCCCACGTCCATTTAAAACAAAGCTATCTCGTTTTGCTCCGCAGTTTAGCGGTTATAATCAGCATGATTCTCAGGTAATACTCCCAACGTATCAAAACTTTCCTTATTGGCCAGTCCGAAAATAAAATCCCATTTCTTTTTTTGAAAAAGAATATGTGGCCATCATTATTTTGCTCTCCCGGACACTTCACTTTTCTAACACTTTTCTTAAATTCCTTGTTCGGTCAAAATGGGCTTTTAATTTGGGATGGAGGTAGAAATAATGTGTAAAAAGAAAAGAGGAAAAGAGAGACATTAGCAGCATTGTTGTGTAGTATGCCCAATTCAGATTTTTTCCCCTGCCGTTACATGTTTTTGTCCTATTCTGAAGGAACTTCTAGCATTTCTACTGGATGGACTTCACGAGGACTTGAATCGTGTCAAACACAAACCTTATATAAAATCAAAAGATGCAGATGGTCGGCCTGATGAAGAAGTTGCAGATGAGTACTGGGCTAATCACATTGCTCGTAATGATTCTATCATTGTAGATGTGTGCCAAGTGAGTGAACTATGGATGAGACTAACTCAGATATTGTACTGTATTTCTCGATAGTGATTCAATGTTCTAGATTGCCATTTAGCAGTCTGGAGGATGTGGTTAGCAAAGCGTAGCAATAATAGGAACAACGCTCATACGTAGACTTTTACTCCCTCCATATTGATGAATTTGTCTGCTTTTCCGCTTTAGGCTGTTCTAATGTATTTACCCACTTTCCATTTGTGCCAAAGTAATAAATGTCACATTTACTTTTTTTCCTCTTCTCAATTCACTCCACTTTAGAGTAAGGACATTTTAGTCCCACTTTATTCTCATGTAATTGGCCCATGGCAAAAAGTAAGTTGACTAACACATTGGGAAGGAGGGAGTATTTTTAATAATATAGCCTTAATTACTCCGGGGTATTATTCAATCCTTGTCTTTAAGTAATTTTGTGCACTGTTAATTTTCAGAAATTGCATATTTTGTCTCGGCAACTTTAACTCAGCTGTAGCCCCCCCCAAAAAAATGCAGGGCCAGTACAAGTCAACTCTAGTCTGTCCTGTATGTAATAAAGTCTCAGTTACATTTGATCCCTTCATGTACCTTTCCCTTCCATTGCAACCGGCCACCACCCGAAGTATGACTGTGACAATATTCACTTGTGATGGAAGTGAACTACCATCAGCTTGCACTGTCACGGTACCAAAGCAGGGACGCTGCAGGGACTTACTCCTGTCACTGTCCAATGCTTGTTCTTTAAAGCCTAGTGAGATGTTCTTACTTGCAGAGGTTAGTGTTTTCATTAAACATTTTCATAGAATGTGCATATTATCTGTGCCTACATAGTTTTTTATTTTTCTAGTATATCTGTTGCTTGCTTCTAGATACGAGGCCACCTGATTCATCGATTCTTGGAAGAACCACTTTTAGCTCTAACTTCTATAAAAGATGACGATCACCTTGCTGCCTATAAGATCCCTACATCGGTGAAAAGCTCAAAATTTCTCCAATTGATCCATCGGCGCGAAGAGTGGTAGGCTTATTTTGTTGTTTTCATATTACATGGATTTCCTCTTGAGTAGTGGTAGAGAATTTACACATTTGTTTCCTTTCTGTTTTGAATATCATGAAAGAATCTTACTCCAGATTCCTTATTTATTTTGTTTTCTATTAGTTGCCTTTTCCCCAAAAATTAAAACATAGTCATGCTTGAGTAAGTTACAAGATCTTACAAGTTATGAATGGTCACTAATACCCCTAAAACTTATTTCCAAAATTATTTGGAGTATCCGACAGAACTGATTGCTGCTTTATAGGAATGCTACCTAAAAAGTGAAAGTTGTCTTTTAAAATCAAACTCTTTGTTGTGTGACAAGAAAGATCCTGAAATATGACTTTTTTTTGGGTGGATGAAGCATTAGTTTAAATTTCCAAAAGAACATTTAGTTGCATTATTAGGCGTCATTAGATTTTCTTTCCCTCTTCTCTTTCACCAAGAATACCTAATTTAGTATTGGATCTTTTACCAGTGAAGCTGGCGAGCCTCGGAGCAGCATGGGGTGGAAGCCTTATGGAACACCTATGGTTTCTCCAATCCCATGTGATGATGTCATTACTAGAGGTGATATACAGTCAATAGTTCACAAAATGCTCTCCCCCATGTTAAGACGGGGAAATCCCTACAATTTCTTCAATGCAAAGACATCAACAGATGGCGCTTCAAGTGCCAGTGAAACCTGTAAAGATGATTCCACTGTGGTGGCTGATGTGGTGAGCGAGAAACTACCTTTGCAACTGGTTGGTGAAAACAACGCATGCATTGACCTAACTGTTGGGGAAGATAAGGCTATTAAGATTTCATCTTCATCAAAGGCAATACTTGTATTCATTGATTGGCCACAACAGCTGTTGGAAACCTATGACACCCACTACCTCGAGAACTTGCCAGAAGTGACTAAATCTGGTCCGTCAGTCGCAAAGAAAGCTCGTATCGAACCTCTTTCGTTGTATAGTTGCTTGGAAGCTTTTCTTCGAGAGGAGCCTTTGGTTCCTGAAGACATGTGGTTAGTTCTTTTTCTTCTTCCGTTAAAAAAACAATTAATGCCCATAGTAGTGGCTGTTTTTTTAATCACCACTTGACAAAATACATATAATGTAATATCTATTGAAAGGTATTGTCCTCAATGCAAGGAGAGACGGCAAGCAAGCAAGAAGCTTGACCTATGGAGGCTACCAGAAGTGCTCGTCATTCATCTTAAAAGGTTCTCATTCAGCAGGTCAATGAAGCATAAGCTAGAAACCTTTATCAATTTCCCCATCCATGATTTCGATGTCACAAAGTATGTAGCAAACAAAAACAACTCTCAACGCCAGCTCTACGAACTCTATGCCTTAACCAATCATTACGGCAGCATGGGAAGTGGGCACTACACCGCACATATCAAGGTAATAAAAAACTATATCCCTTACCACTACCGCATGCTCTTAGTCTTATATTGTTTTACAAATACATGATGAAAACTATATCCTCTGTCCCAAAATCATCTTCTCTTTACCATTATCCGCTGTTCCCAAATCACTTTCCCGTTACTTTTATTTAAAAGATTCGCACTAGTGAAATATCATTTTCACACCCCAACTGCCCAACCTAAGTCCTACTCCACATCTAATTAAATTATCATTTTCTTGATGAAGAAACCCATTTCAGCCCATATTTTGACAATAAACTCACTATAATTCAATTTTAACCTACTCTTATGATCCTTGTCAATTTCACGTGGGGAGATCGTTTTGAGATAGGGTATTACATTGCATATTCAAACTAAAACAAAAGTGTTACCTTGGTCTGGATCCGTGGATTAACTTTGTGTTGGAGTTAACTCGATGAATGGTCCTATGTTGGCTTTGGGTCCTAGGTGTGTTGGGGCCGAAGTGTTTGTCCATTGGATCCAAAGTGGTGTGTTATCTTTTGCCACACGAACAAGCTCAGATGTTCCAGAAATCTGACCGTTTTTTTCTAACCTTTCAACGATTTACAGCTGCTCGACGAAAATAGGTGGTACAATTTTGATGACAGCCACATATCTCCAATTAATGAAGAAGACGTCAAGTCTTCTGCTGCTTATGTTCTGTTCTATCGGAGAGCGAAAACTGATGATGATTCTGCGAGCAATGGGTTCGTGCCATCTGGCAGTCACCACACTATCTCTTCTCGCAAGTAGCCTCTGCTAGATTGTGTACATTCATGTAAAAACTGGCATCGAGTTTTAACGGGTTAGTATCACTGTATTAGTATTATTGCTTTAGTGAAATCACTTAGGGCATCACACAAACAAAGTTGATGAGAGTAGTGTTTAAGGTTTTTCACAAGACAGAAGTTAACAAATGAATATGATGTTTTGACATTAGAGACTTATTATACTGTATATATATATTGTCTTCACTCTGTACTAAATGCGGGTTCAATTCTTAAACCGTATTCTAATTACTGTGTTTATATTTATGATAAATAAAATAGACATTTGTTACGGAGTATGTTTCTGAAGAAGATTATTGTATCTCATTCACTCATCCAATGAAAAGAATAGTTGAATCACATATGGTAACTATTTAAACCATGTAAAATGGTATTCTTGGATTATGAAACTTTATTTCAAACTTACTTTTTTATTTACTTTTTATCCCCTTTTTTTCCACTCATTCTTTTTCTACTTTTCCATTATTTTCCTATCTAACAAAACAAGCAAATCTATTTTTCTTATTATTTTTTTTCTTTTACCTTTAAAATATCTTGAACCAAATATAGTGTAGGATGAGAACCAAGAATAGTTTAAAGGCTTCAGTGCTTCACTAAAAAAAGAATATTTAAAAGGGAGAAGCAAGGAATATATGCAAATTTTTGTGCCCAAGTTTCCACTCCACTGAACAAATTGGCGCCGGAAGAACATTTTACCAAAGCACTACATGCAAGTGATGTATAAATAACTAATTGAAATTGGCATCATTTCGCTAAAATCTCTACACCATTTCTTTCTATCTCGTCCCATTTTGTGAAAAGATGGAGTTTCTCGAAAAACCCGAATCCCGATTTTTCATCGGGATTGCGGTTGCTCTGCTTTCCATCGCCGCCTCAATCTACGTCTTCTTTTCCAAGAAGCCCAGAGAAAGATCATGCCTGGACCCCGAGAAATTCAAGGAGTTCAAGCTTGTGAAACGCACGCAGCTGAACCACGATGTGGCCAAGTTCAGGTTCGAGCTTCCTACCCCTACTTCCGTTCTGGGTCTCCCGATAGGACACCACGTTCGTTGTAGGGGTAAGGACGATAAAGGGGAAGATGTTCTAAAACCATATACTCCGATCACATTGGATTCTGACGTTGGGTACTTCGAATTGGTTGTCAAGATGTATCCCAAAGGAAGAATGTCTCACCATTTCCGGGAAATGCGCGAGGGCGATTATCTGGCCGTGAAAGGGCCGACGGGTCGTTTTCGGTACCGGGCAAACCAGGTTCGTGCTCTCGGGATGATTGCCGGGGGATCAGGCATAACTCCGATGTTTCAGGTTGTTCGAGGAATTCTTGAGAACCCGAAAGACCAGACGAAGGTGAGCCTTATCTATGCCAATACGACATACGGAGACATTCTTTTGAAGGAGGAATTGGATGGATTTGCTTCCGAGTTTCCGGGGCGTTTTAGGGTTTACTATGTGCTAAGCCGGCCTCCGGCGGATTGGAGCGGCGGCGCCGGTCGCGTGTCGAGGGCAATGATAGAATCTTACTGCCCATCGCCTGCGCATGATGTTAAGGTATTGAGGTGTGGACCGCCGCCCATGAACAATGCCATGGCGGCTCACCTTGATGCTCTTGGCTATAAACCAGATATGCAGTTCCAATTCTAGGATTATCTTGGGTTTGGGTTTGTTAGGGAAGGAAAGAAGATTATATGGTTTGATTGATTGCATAGCTTAATTTAATTATTGCAATGTATTTTAATTAAAAGTGGGGATGTAACTATAAACTCTCTTCTTTTTTGGTTTTGTATGATTCTTTCTCAATGAGAGAAAAAATTTAAATGAATAAGATTCTCCTTTCTTAATACAGATATTTGTTACGTATCAATACTGTATCAAATATTGTGATTCGATTTTACATTGTAATGATTCTGATCTCAAAATATCGATTCAAAATGATTTTGTTTCAGTAAATATTAGGATGTGTGTGTGTGTGTGTATATATATATATATTGGTTCTGCTGAGAATGCGATCTTAGGGGAGAAATCGAAATTTCCAATTCTGCTATTTGATACCACAAAATTATGTAGCTTTGGAATTGGTAATGGAAAAAATAAATTTGAATTGGAGAATTAAATTACATCTAATTCAATCACATAGATTTTAAATTCAATTCAATTTCAACTTTGTCAATTTTACGTACCAAACATATCATTATAAAATTGAGTAAATTTCTTAAATGATCTTCTCTAATAAGATGTTTTCTCAAATTAATCATTAGTAAGTTTTAATTACTAACGTGTTCTTCTATACTCGAGTAATTTATATTTAATCTCTAAGTAATGTTTCATGATTAATATCATTCAAATTATGATTAATTGGGAATATTTTGGTATTTTTAAGAGCTAAATTTAGAATAAATTCTTAAAATAATCATTTCTAATGAAGTATGCTCCCTCCCCTCTACTTATCCCTTCTTTTTGAAGCTTGAAATTGCATACATTTTGGCTCCTCTTTTTTTTCCATTATACTGATCAACTTGTTTCAATCGTTTTTTTCTTTAAATTGCTACTAAAGATTACATTGAGGCATTCTTTGTCTCTGCATTCGTTCGTGGTCTTTTAAGATTTCTTTCTTTTTCTTTAATCTTCTTTTTTTTGCTTTGGATTTTAATTGTTTCTTTCTTCTTCTTCAAATGAGAGAATGGTTCTTATTGATAGAAATGCATATAATGCATTTTTGGTCAATCTTGATGTGGATTCACACTTTCAATGATGTATTTTTGTAATGGAAACAAAGTCCGATTTATTTACTAATTTTCCATATTTATTTCTCAATTTTTAAATAGCTCTTATGATATTAAATCCTATGGAATTATTTATTTTCTATAATACAATCGATAAAACATAATTAACCCAACACAATCATAGTATTATTGGCAAACATAATTAATCCAACACAATCAATGCTTTTTAAATAAAAAGTTTATTTTGATCCGACAAAAAATTTAATAAAAATATTAAAAAATAAATTATTATTTTGACCTTGAAATTTTTTACCTTTAAATGATCTAAAGCAACTACAATATTTTGTTGTTAAAATGATAGTTCAAACCACCCTAACGTCATTAAACCCCAAGCCTCCCTAAATCATCAATATGGACGGCCAAATTGGTGACCTAGGAGGGTAGGGAGCTGGTGTGAGATGTATGGGGAACAATGAGTTTGGGTAAAGAATAACATGGTAGGAATTATTAATTTTTTCAACAAAGTAATGCATGTGCTCCAAAATATTTTTTATGTAGTCAAATGATCCTTGTCCTAAAAAAGTACTCTCTCCGTCCCACTGTGTTTGTCCACTTACTTTTTGGCACACCATCCAATGCATTTCTTTAATCTATTTTATCTTATAATTTGTATATTAAAAAATTATAAAAATTATATATTAATAGTCTATATGTTAAGACGAATCAAACAAGATCACACATGACTATTTTTAGGCTTACACATTAATAGAATTTGATGAGTCAAAGTGTTTAGATGAACAGTTCCAAAAGTCAAATGTGGACAAAGAAAATGGGACGGAGGTAGTCACTTTGATTTGGGGGAAAATAATGATGAACATGTATCACTTTATCAAAAGGAAAATTGACTATTGAGTGGTTTATTTTGGAAATAATGGGCGGAGAACTATGGGATTGAGAATTGAGATTTGATAGAAGGAAAGAAAAAGTTAGCCGAGGAGAGTGAGGGATGATAGGGAAGAAGACGAACTCAGAAAACAGAGACATCATAGAAGACAAAGGAATCAGCTCATCTTCCTCCCCCATTCAAGCCCTAATCAACATTTCTCCATCTTCCTGTTATTATTATTATAATCCAAACGCACGCGTTTGTGTATTTATTCATTCATATATATGTTGCTGTAAATTCGTTTTGTTCATGGCGGATTCGCATGCGGAGCAATAAAGTTTGATTCAATCGGGAAGATTTCGCCATTGCACTTGGTTGTGAGTTTTGGATCCTTGACGGCGATTGCTTCCCTGCTTCCGAGGGGGATTCTGGCTCAGATCTGCGGCGATTACGCCAGTCTCTGCAATGGATGAGCTGGACATGTTGGCCCGTGACTTTGGCATCCGACCAGGCGGGAAATCGGCGCCCATGAGATCCGACGCAGGAGTTCGCGGCCCCTCATCCGCGCAGTCCTCGCCTTTCTTTGGCGGCGCGCCCAAGTATGCGAACTCCAATGCCGATAATAAGGCCTCGTCCATGAATGATATTGATTACGATTCCATATTTACATCTGGCAATGATGCTAAGAGCAATAGCAGCAAGAGTTCTTCTTTTCCTGTAAATGATAAGCCAATCTACGATGATGACATTTTTGAAGGAATGCCAGGACTCAAGAGCAAATCAATGTCTTCGTCAACTGCTAGGTTTGACGATGATTTGTTTGCCTCAGTGGTCTCACGGCCAAGAAAGAATCAAGATACTGACCATTTTGATGATCTGCTGGGGACTCTGGGGAAGAATGAGAAGGCGACTGAAGCAAAAAGTAGTAAAAGTTTGAGAGGGTTTGATGATTTGCTAGCTGGTTTTGGGAGTGGTAATTCAACCCGTACGAGCAGGTATCTCACTACAATGGTGTCAATTTCAGTTAGTATGACTACGCAAGTATTTGTAAAGTTGTAAATGTTACTTCTATCATTATGCATGTCTTTTGATGTTTTCTCCTTTAGTTGGTTTCATGCTGTCTTATTTGTAGCAAATTGCAGGCAGTACATAACTACGTATTATGCTATTGAAAAGGAAGCAAAATATAGGCAGTACATATAATGTTATTGAAAAGATATCATATTAGTATGAAAACTGCCTTTGTGCTGGAGGCTGCTTTGATGATTGAATGTAATGGTGGTGAAAAGTGCATCCAGACCAGATCAAAGTTATAGCCTTATAGGTGTGCTCATGTGCACATATGAGATCATTACCACATGTCATATCAATACACACTGGGGAGGTAAATTGTGTGGCATTGGTTGAATGAACATTTATGATTTATTCAGAATTTCTGCTCTGTGGTGTGGTGGATATGATGGTCCAGCTAGCTTTAGCTCAAAATTTGTGACAATTTTTTCCTCAACCCAGACTCCAGTTTTTTAATACTCCATTATTTAGGAGAGAAACAGAGAAGAAAAAGAAAACATTGTTTCATAAGACATAATGAAATGTGATGCCCTTCAGGTTTTCAATGTATATTGTTAACCACCAACCAGTGTTGTCCTCTTTGCAAACCCAAAAATAGCATGGATGTTTTTGGTGGGCACGTGAAATTACAGATGAAATTGACAACTAAGGAATAGTTTTTTGTATGGGAATCCTTTGCATAGGTAATTGTCTGGACTGTTTCCTGTCTACCATTGCTTAGTATCTAAGCATCTAACACATAGTTTTATGATACATATTGCTTTATATTTGATGCATTGATGCCCATTTCTAATTTTCGCTGTCTGTATAATTTGGATATAAGTTAACTTCATAAACTTTCAACATTTTGTTTCATATAGGTCATTTACAGAGCCCGATCAACACTCTAAACAATCTGGATACTCCAATAGGACTTCAAGTATGGCAGATGATCCTTTTGGAGTCCTAGAAACATCTGTAGCAGCCCCTTTAACAGGGGTATTCTCCGATCCACTGGAGGGCATCACAAACCCTGGTAGATCGGGGAGTGCCAAAGTTGATTCTTCATTTGTTTGGGGGAGTGAATTCGATGAGCTGGATCGGCTCAATGGTTTTGGTGGATCAGTGCCTGCATTTTCTACTGAAACGAATAAGAAAAGGAACAATGAGAGCCCTTCTAGGGAAATATCAGGGAGAAATGAGAAGCAAACGTCTATTTTAAGAGAAAACGGTGAGGAATATTCATCCCGACACTCTGAGAAGCATCCTCACAAGTCAGTTCGTGGGCATGGGTCTCCAGAGTCATTGGTTGAAGCACTTACAAAGGATTCTCAGAAATCTGTTCGCCAAGACGCTGCTTCTACCCCCCACTCACCTCAATATGCAAGTGTAAGTCATAATGAGAACAGTTCACCGGTAGATATGTCTCCTGGATTAGAAGAACAGGTGCATGCTTCAGAAGATATTTGGATTACAGTATCAGAGGTCCCACTTTTCACCCAGCCTACAAGTGCTCCACCTCCGTCACATCCCCCTCCTCCAATTCCACGACAAACCTCTAAATTGGGGACAGATTTGTTTTCTTCACATACACGGAGAGGTGATGTGTATGCATCGTCTCCAAAATTCACTCAATATTCTGAGAGTCCCAAGACTTGCAGTGATGTGGCTAAGAGCTCCACAGCTTCACAACTGCATGAACTCGAGGAATTTGCCATCGGTAGGAACCATAGCAGTGTTGGTGGAGCTCAAAGTTCTCCTTCTAGTGAACAAATGAATGCAAACTCTATTGCTGCTGCATCTGCTGCTGCAATGAAGGTAGCTATGGACAGAGCTGAAGCTAAGTTTAGGCGTGCTAAGGAAGTTCGGGAAAGAGAGTATGCAAAGGCTGCTAGAAGTACGGTGCAGTTGGCAAAGGATGAGCAGGACATGCCTGAGGTTCAAGATCGAGAATTGAAGGAAGAACGTGAAATATTAGAGCGTGAACATCGCCAACGTGTGAACCAAGAGGAAGAACAGAAGAGACTTGAAAGGGAGAGAGAAAGGGCAAGGCAAGCTGTTGAAAGGGCTACTAGGGAAGCACGCGAAAGAGCTGCTGCTGAAGCTCGTATAAAAGCTGAAAGAGCTGCTGTGGAGAAGGTAGCTGCTGAAGCTCGAGATCGAGCTGGAAGGGCTGCAGTTCAGAAAGTACAAGCAGAAGCCCATGAAAGAGCTGCTGCTGAAGCAAGGGATAGAGAAGCACAGGAAAAAGCTGCTGCTGCGAGCGCTCAGTTTGAGGCACGCCGGCGAGCAGAAAGAGCTGCAGTAGAAAGGGCTGCTTCTGAGGCTCGAGAAAGGGCTGCTGCTGCCGCCGCAGCTGCTGCCAAAAGAGTGAACCAAGAAAATAATGGTGATGATTTGGAATCCTTCTTTATTATGGGTTCTCGAGCAAGTAGTGCTCCAAGGCCAAGGGCAAGTTCTCCTGTGAGTACAAATTAAAATGCAGTCATATACTGGTCTGGTATTATGTACAAAAATTCCCTCCCAACTTTTATAATTTCATCCCTTTTCGCTGATTTTGGGGTTTCTTCATTGATATTTCAGGAGGCTGTGTTTGATACACAATTCCAAACTAAAGGAGGCTCTGAAGGGGCCAAGGCGACACCTTCATCTGGTGTAGCCTCCAACATCCGGAAAGCATCATCAACAACAAATATTGTGGATGATCTATCTTCAATTTTTGGAGGTGTTTCTATAGTATGCTTTTGCAGTTTTACTTATGTGATATGGAATTTATGAGCTAAGAGAGCTGTTTTCTTGGATATATTGCTGACTGAAACTTTTTTGTGGAAAGCTGCTCCATCATCTGGAGATTTTCAGGAAGTTGAAGGTGAAAGTGAAGAAAGAAGAAGATCTAGATTGGAGCGTCATCAGCGCACCCAAGAGCGAACGGTACATTTCTAATTATCTGTTTGTTTTTAATAGTGCAGGTCCATTATTTTGGGGTCATATTTAACGAAGTCTTGCTGTAAAAGTGTAACTGATAATAATTATTTTGCAATCAGGCTAAAGCCTTGGCTGAAAAGAATCAACGTGATCTTCAAGCCCAAAGGGAACAGGAAGAAAGACATGTAAGTACAATTTTGGACAACACACAACTCACTTTTCAACTTACACTATCAGTGCCTCTGTTATCCACCCCCCACAATTGGAAGCTGAACGCTCCATATATAACGTTGTTACTTCCTCTTTGTTTTGTGATCAGTTACTTGTATATCATTAACCATTCAACCCTATGACATCCATTTTCTGAACATTAATTATAACCTTTGCTTTAGCTATGACCATGAGTAAAAAAAAAGCTAGCTACAATATAATGAATTTCTAGTTTTTTTTTATATTGCTAGTGTTGACAATGAAGTTGAAAGTGTTATTGAAGTGTGATAGTTAACCACAGAATTGTGAGATAATAGGAAGTTTTATTTAAATTACTTGACACTTACATTATGATAAGTATATGGGACCACTGCAGAGGGCACCACTATAAAGAGGTTATTCTAGCAGAACAAATAAAGAAAATTTAGGATTTCTTGGAGCTAGCTTAAGCATTGAGATTCCAGCATTAAGGAATGAATAACAGTGAGGATTTCTTGGCGCTCAAGTTCTGGAATTGCAGCTATTAGGAAGACTATTAAGCATGTTACTTCTTAAATTCATAGTTACTGTATATATTTAGTCTAATGGGTTTAGATAGAGAGGGACTCTTCCCATAGAGGGTAGGCAGAATAAATTGTAATAACACATGCATTCCACCACACACCCCCGGATCTAATCTCTTGAGTGGGATGTATCCCCTATGTTTGGTTTGGTTTAATTGGTCTGACCAGCTGATTCCAATGACGAAAACATGCGCAGAGGATTGTATGCATGCAATGGAGAATGCTCACCAGTGTTAAAGATGCCATGACCAACCTCACGGCTTTGGTTACCAAAGCATTGAAAAGCATTCCAAGCAATGGAAATGCTGATTCCTCTCTTATTCATCACTACGAAGTCACTAAGCTGACACCAACTCACCTACCCTTGAATGAGTTCCATATCTCCCCTAAGTGGATAGACCTCCCATCTTTTGATGGCACAGAGCCTATTGGATGGATCATGGAACACTAGACAGTACTTCACAATCCAGAATACAGGTGCAGATTTGCGCGTTCCTTCATCATTTGTGAGCATGGATGGCCTTGCCCTTCATTGGACGTGTTATCTACAACAGGAAACCCCATCCTTTGGACATAATTTAAATTGGTACTTATGGTGAAATTTGGTGGCGATGTCTCTGCTTCACCAGTCGAGCTATTGGCCTTCCTTTGCCAGATGGATATGGCAATGGATTTACTGCATGCACTGCTAAAATTCCCAGGGCTGTCTTGTGAGGTTCAGTTGGAGCTGTTTCTCAATGGGATGAAGGAGGAAGTTTATGTGTGTTTTCAGCCTAACAATTTGGAACAACAATGAAGGTTACAATGTTATACACACCATTGAATGTGAAACTGATTCTCTCCTCTCCATGGCCGGCAAGTTAGGTATTCAGAGATGGCTTTCCTTTGGATTTGCGTTGGGCTAGGATTCTTATCAGGCCCATTCTACTTAGGGTCCATTTGGAAGCCTGGAAAAAGACTTCTGGAAAATGATTTCTGGAAAATGATTCATTTTCCAGAAACCATTTTCCTTTTCAGATGTTTGGATGAAAGGTATGAAAATCATCAATTTCTGTTTGATTCGTTTTTGGAAAATGAAGATTGGAATATAAGAAAATCAGATCTGAACAACACCAATTGAGATTGTAATTGAAATTGAATCGCACTTGCTCTGATTCCTTCCTGCCTAGAATTAGTCCCGTCCAAGTGAAGAAGAAGAGAAGCAAGTTTTGCTGCTTGCGATGGCTTTCACCTCGAGATTGGAGTCTCACTGTTTACCAAATTTACTGAACAAATGGAAGAAAATAGCTTTTCATGCCGTTCTCAAAATATTCAATTTTTTCATTAGCCCCCTTTCATTATCAAAATAGAAAACCTAATCGATTTTGCACAACTTTCAGTCAAGAAGAAGAAGAGAAATAAGGTGTCAGGGGAGGACGGAATACGAAGGTGAGAAGAAGAAGAATAAGAGGGAGAGATGCAGCGAGAGAGGAAAGGAGATGAGGAGAAGAAGAAAGAAAAGGAGACGAAGCAAGAGAGGAAATGGGAGAAGAGGCAGAAATTGTCTTCCAGAAAAAAAATTGGGAAGTCACAATCCGGAAATAGGACCTCATTTTCCATTTGACCAAGCTTGTTTTCCATTTGACTTTCATTTTCCACTCTTGCTAAACAATGGAAAATGGGGAAAATGACTTCCGGAAGTCATTTCCCCCCTTTCCAAACGGACCCTTAGAATCTGTTCTCTTCATATTATTCTTATTACTTATTCTTATTGGAACCTGATCAGATCAGAAATATCTTTAACTTTAACTCAACCAGATCTGACTTTAATAAATTCAGAGTTTCATATCAGAACCAATAGAGAAAGAGAACATATACCAGTTACTCAATGTTTGTCCCTATATGTGTGTGTCGCCTTCACTCTATCCTCAGAATTCCGTAGGTAATTTCATACGCTAGATTGCTTCCCGCATTGGTCCCGTTGCATGTCCCTGTCGATATGTGCCAATACTTGCTCTACTTGTGGCGTTTGACACGATTCTCAACAATAATACCAAGAGCTGCGAGGTAAGCGGCTCTGTTTTAGGTGCAAACAGCATTACAGTCTAATCACCACATGCCTTTACCACTGCTGGAATCGAAAGGCTCATTTGATACTTTGAGACTAACAGTTACATCTTCTCGTATACTGGGCACTGGCTGCACGGACAATACTGAAATTTTCTCTTCCCTTCGTAATGGAATGTGGCGCTTTGGGCACCAAGATTAGTGTGGTTCTGCTACAAGAACAATACATATTCATGTTTTCAGTCATGCATTCTTAGGGAGACCTTATCTCGTTAGAAGATACTTCCAAGTCCGCACTGATAACAGGAATCTCCTTATTTACTACAGGGGTCTATTTCAACACCATTACAGTGAGATTGGGTGGTCAAACTATTGGTGTATGATTTTTTAGGTCACTTTTAAGCTGGGAGCCTCCAAACAATCAATTTGAGGATTCCGAGCTGTCAGTTATACCTGATCTCTTTTAGCTTAATTGGAGTGCATTGGATGCCACTAGTTAGCGCTGGCAGTGGTTTGGTAGCATTATTTATTGTTGATGGAACTAACAGAAGTGCTAGTTATTGGCAATAGTTGTCGGCAATGTCAGTGTTTACTAGTGATAGTGATGTTGCTAACCATCAGTGGTAGAGAATGTGATGGTATTTGCATGTGTCAAGAGGGGTGGGGATTCAGTGGGTTGGGAAGGGGGGTCACCAACGATGATAGTGGGAGGTCCCCAATTGTGGCAGAGATCACCATTGGTGGAGTACGTAGCTGGTCTTATTTGTCATCGGTGTTCAATTTTTACTTCGGAACTGGGGTTTCTGTTTTGGAAAACTCAAACAATGCCCTTAATACGTTTGGGGGGAAAAGTGCAAAACTAGAGAACTATTTTCTGATTTTCAAATTTGGAAAACAAAGTGAACACGTTTTCTGTTTTCTGAATTTGGAAAGCATAAATGGTAAAAATGTTCTGTTTTCCAATTGTGCAGAATGTAGATAAAAATTCAGTTACAAACAGACTCATATATTTGTTATATATTTCAACAAGAACAACATTGAATTACATTCACGTTTAGTCGTTTACAAAAATTAATTCTAATTAAATGAGAAATCAGGGCATTGTTTGTCTAATTAATTTCATGGGTTGCTGTCCTTTCAAGAATCAAGGTATTCAAAATTGTAAGAAGAATGCTGCTAATTTTCTTCCAATGGCAGATTACATGCAAGCAAACCCATAACAAGAGAATAGCAAGGAATTGCCTGGATTTGATTTTTTTTATTAACTTGCATAAAATATATACAAATCAGCAGCATTTCAGTACTAAATAAAGAATAGTACAGAGTACTTTTAAAGATAGGACTATAGGTGGATCCATTTACACTGGTTTTTAGTTGAGGGTAATCACATTTTGCTACCGGCTAGAGGGGGGAGTAGATGGACATCTTTGACTGAGTACTCTATATGGCTATTGGGGGGGGGGGAGTAGAGTGGCATCCTCAACCTTCTCTCTAGATCTGCATTGCCTAAAATTAACTTCCTCCCCAGATTAGTTTCCCAAACACTTTTGGCACGTTTATAATGTGAAATTGTGTATCTGATATTCTTTAGAGAGGAGATAAGAATATGAGCCACACACTCCATTCTTCAGAAGGGGCATGATAAATTTGCTTTTAGTGAGAGAAAAAAGTCAGGTGACAAACTAGCTTGGATACATATGAAATAATACTTATATATATGGAATATAATGTGTGTTCAACTTACTAGATAATTAATATTTACTATTTATATGTTTTGCATAGATGTCAGTGGCAATTTATCATTTAACCCCCCTGCAACAATTCATCTCAAACACTTTTTTGTTCTTACACCTCGAAATGCTATTTTGTTCTTATATCTCCAAATGCTACCATGCTACCACTTCAAACTCAATACCAATGCTTTTAGGTACATTGTTCCCACCGGCCACCGCTGTTACAAACAAAGCAGTGTTTGTAATCTGATTCACTTCTTGGATGTGCCTTCTTTTTGTCAGAATCTGACCGATTGGTTTGATCTGAGTGCAGAGGGTTGCAGAAGTTATGGATATTGAAATCAAGCGTTGGGCTGCTGGGAAGGAAGGAAATCTGCGTGCTCTTCTGTCAACAATGCAATATGTGAGTTTGATTGCTAATGAGAATTCCTCCTTGTACTACAACTGAGATTTATCTCTTGCGGAAGATGTTTTTTTTCCAGTTTTATGTCACTTTTTTATGCTTATTTACTAGATTTTTTTGCCGAGCACCAACTTAACTTATTTGATTGTACTGACTTAATTTGTTAATAAAAAATAGTGTAGCAAGTACTCTTTTTGGCTAAGTTAAAAGGACAAAAATGGCACCTCTGCTCGCTTCTATATATTTTAAGTACTTTTCTTATAAATTGGAATTCATCAAGTTTGGCCAATTCTGCAAATTATCTCGTGCATCCAGTTGTATGCAACATGTGACAATTCAAAAAAAATGGCTGTTAATTTTCCTTTAAAGGATTCTCATTTTCCATTATTGCCTGCTCTAGTTCTTTATTTTTTTTAGTTCTATTTGCTATGTGCTTTTTTCATTTTCCACTAAAGTAGATATTCATATGCATTTAATAGGTTCTCATTTTGTTGTGAAGGATGCCCATATGTATTATAATCATGGTACATCTGTACTTACTATTAATGGACTGAGCTAGCTCAATCAAATCAGCCATAATTTTAGCAAATTTACTCACTATAGCCATTTTAACAAAATTTTCCCTTACCAAAAACAGGCTAAAATCTAATACTCACTCTGAGTCTGGATTACATGTATCGTGATTCATTTATATGGTACAGTGAATTATTAAAGCCTTAGTAAGGTCTTCCACTTGACGTTGCTCATTAATACCTTTAAAATAATTCTACTCTTTTCAAAATGGACATTATTTGATGGATCTTATCTTCAAATTCTGCGTTTTATCTTTGAAGTCCATGATCCCTGAGTAGTGGTCACTGAATCGCTAGAAGGGTTAGGGGCTGTTTGGCAACTTCTGAATAAGTAAGTGCTGAACCAGTAAGAGGTCTGAACCATTAAGTGCTGAACCAGTAAGAAGTAAGAGGTCTGAATCATTAAGAGCTAGTATATTGCTTAACTATTCAGAGACAAATGTCTGATCAATTCAGATAAGAGGTCTTAACCATTCAGACTCTGTATAATACTTAACCATTCAGAAGCAAATCTTTTAACCATTCAAACATCTGAACCATTAAGAGGCTGAAACAAACAGTCTGAACCATTAAGTGCTGAACCATTCAGACATCTGAACCATTAAGAGGCTGAAACAAACAGCCCCTTAATGTTAATATTATACTCCCTCCGCCCCATAAAAAGTTCCACCTTTGAATTGGCACGGAGATTAAGAAAAGTGAAATTGTGTGGTTGAAAGTGATGCAGAGGAGAGAAATTTTAAGGGCCACAAATTCTTTTCGGGACGTACAAAAAAGGAAATGTAGAACCTTTTTATGGAACATTTATTATTGAGGTCCAGTTTTGAGTTGCATTTTTAAAAATTTGATGCTACAGTTACACCACATCTCTATATCTGAATGACATTTAGAGAGTAAAGTATTGTTTCTCTTGTTCTGCAGAGTTGATCGTATTGTGAAGTCATGTGCTCTCTAGCCTGTTTTCATGTTTCCATTTTTATATTTCATTGAAATAAAAGAATGAAAATGTGTGGTTGATACTTATTATATAGGAGAAATATTCTGAGCCACAATTCTTCCCTTGAAAAGAAATGGAAAGAATAATTAGAGATGCCACAAAAAGGAAACGAAAAGAATCCAAAAGATAAAGAGTAAGGATGGAGGGATTATAAAGTAGAGCCATGAGTCATTTAGTGCTGTCAAATTATAACACCCACCTTAATGATGACATACGTGCGATGAAGCTATGATGATGTAATTATATTAAGTTAGGGGTTAGGGTTTTGCTTTAAATTGGGACCGTAAATCAGTTAAATAGTGAGTAATACATTTAGTGTTTCACAAACTTAAAAAATGAGGCGAGCGTAAGATAATAATTTCACCTCTAAGTGTCCTCCTAGAGGTGAACCTGGACGTGAGCTTGGCATATCATTTGTTAATCTATGTTATATCTTATGTGGCGTGTCAAAGATGTAACCCCCCGATGAACTGAATCATCTTCATCATCAGGTGCTTTGGCCGGAATGTGGTTGGCAGCCAGTTTCATTGACAGATTTGATCACTGGGGCATCTGTCAAAAAAGTATATCGAAAGGCAACCCTGTGTATTCATCCTGATAAGGTGCAGCAGAAAGGTGCCACTCTTCAGCAGAAATACATTGCTGAGAAGGTGTTTGATCTTCTTAAGGTACCCCACATCATCTCTCTCTCTCTCTCTCTCTCTTTATATATATATATATATATATATATATATATATATATATATATATATATATATATATATATATCTACGTTGCTAATTAGGTGAGCTGTACTCTTATTCAGGAGGCATGGAGCAAATTCAGTTCAGAGGAGCTTTTTTAGACAATCTGCCGATTCTGCCCCATTCATTCGTTCGCGCATTAGTTGCTTCGTGGGGGGATTATTGTTGGCGATGGATCTTGCAACTCCGGTTTATAACCCCTATAGTGGCTGAGCGGCAAGGTAAAGAAAAATACTCCATTGCTGCTACTGTATATGTTATATAATGTCTTGATGCGCCTCAGTGCGCAATCTCAGTTGGAGCAACGTGACGCTCCTTCTGTTATAATGTTCACACTTCATTTTCACAGTTTGTATGATCATTTTGTCACCCTCTCCAAGTACTCATCCTTTAAGGAGCATTGGAATATTGTTGTGATTGATAGGTATAATACAAATTGTATTTTTTTTCCCCAATGATATGTGAAAATAGCATACAGTGTTTCTGTTCCTTTTAGAAAAATATTTGCATATTTCACACTTGTGATATCACACAAAAGCATATATGTTTGGTGAAATTAAGTTTGTATTTAATGCTATGTTTCGCCAAAGCCTTTCTTTTCCATTCCAATAATCAATTTAAGTAATCAGGAATTGGGTACCCCTTCTGTCCTGCTATAATTTTCCTCTTGTTTTTCTGTTTGGACTGTGCCTGATTGCTTTCATATTAATTTTCCTTTTTAGTGTTATTGACATACAGTAGTACTGTTCATATTTTATCTCATGAATTTTGGGGATTGGGCTTTCTCCTGTGGTCATTTGAACCCTATCTTCAAGCTAAAATGGGTGTGCTTCTCATGACTTGTCAAGTCCATCAAACTCTTGGCTTGTGGGTCCTGCTCGAGACCCTCGATGTGAGGAAAACTTGGACTTGTGATTATGGCAAGTTTGGCATTTCTCCTTGATCAATACTTGCATGAATAGCTTCGAAACCATCGATTCAGACGAATAAACTGTTAGCTTCAAACATCATTCGAACCGAATAAGATCACACGTGATAATTGTTACTCGTACATATTTCGAGTTCAAATACCGTTGCAGTTTGAAAATATTAGTTCAATCCCTTAGGGGTGAACCAGTTTTTCAAATTGTCATTTGATGCTAAAAATGTTCCGTTTTCTAATGCCTTTTGCTCTCATTTTGTTTGCTTGATCGCCAACTTCTCTATTTTTGGGCTGTCGTTCCCGTTATGGTGGTAGCAATCCCCTTTTCTTTTGTATTTTCAAGAAAAGAAAAAGTCATACTTGTATGATTTGTAATGGGTGTTTTCTTTGTTCATAAGCTGGTCAAAATAGTTTATAAGTTATTTTTAACTTACTCACTCCGTCCTATAATGTTCTTTCTGGTTCTATTTACGAAATTTGATCGACTTTATTTTCAATTCAATTTATTTGATTGTAGGTGTAAAATTAAAAAAGAAAATTTATATATTTAAAAAGTACATCAAAAGTTCTACAAAACAAGTGTGGTGACAAGACTATATTATTTTATCACATATCTAATGAAAATAGGTAAAGAAAGTGATTAAAGTTTGACTGTGTGAAAAATAAGTGGGAAGAACATTTCAGGACGGGGGAGTATAGTTAGGGGATGATATATTTTTGTACTAATAAGCAGCTTATAAGCCATAAAAATTAGTATTGGATGTGTTTTAACTACTTATTTTTAAGTTTATTTTTTTGTTTCTCCATTTCGACCTATTCATTTACACAATCTTTTAAAAATTACTTCTTTGTAACCAATAAGCATTAGCATAGAAAACTACTCTTAGTATTTTAAGTTCAAGATTATCTAGAAACATCAACGGCACCAGAGATGGACGAAGGTAGGGATGACAATTCAACCTGAACCCGATCTTAACTGACCCTACCGACCACTAAAATATTCAAACCCGAATCGAGAATAAAATAATCCAAACCTGACCCAATCTTTTTACCCAAACCCGACATCGGGTCAGGTCGGGTGTGGGTTTATAACTTTACCCGAACCGACCCAAACCCACATCCGACACGACTCAAACTTGAATATTTTATAACATAGAAGTATAGAACTAATAGAAGCCTATCACTCTGTATAATTTCTTGACAAGGTGCTACTATATCAAGTATGCCTTTAATAATTATTTTTATAATTCATTAATAAAAAATGAGTCAAAAAAAGAGAAACAAAAAAATAAATTTAATGTTTTTAAAATTATGGGGATACGTCGAATTGATTACTACGGAGTATAAAATTATATATTCGGGTTCAAGTTTCGGGTTTAAATGTCAGATTCAGGTCGGGTCGGGTTTTTGGCTTAAAATGTCGGGTTTTGTGTTGGGTTCGGATCTTGGTTTTAAAAGTCGGGTCAAGTTCGGGTATACTACTATCCGACCCAACCCCGACCCGTTGTCATCCCTAGACAAGAGGTGGTATTTGTTAATTGTGGAACATTGAAAAGAAGTGTTTAGAACACAATTAACAAATAAGACATTGGTTGGAAGTAGAACATTAAAAAGAAAAATAAGTTCTCACGACATTACCTTTTTTATACAACCTTTCTCTTGAGCCACAGAATATCAAATTATATCTAGTCAAAAACTTCACTAATGACATTGATAACTTGGACTTTTGATACGATCTTTCTTTCTTGAATTGCTCATTTTGAACTCTATCAATCATTTCATTCAACTTCAATCTTTTGCGCTTATCAATCCATATTCATATTTGAGAAACTTCAAATTTTTAATGTTGATGTAACTCCCACGTATTAGGATTTGTTATTGGTCTTATATTCTTAGTTTTTTTAAAGTTAATAATATGGTTAAAAATGTTTAGTGGTTAAGACACAATAACTTTAATTAACTATTTAGTTATTTGCATTTATATTTTTATGATTTTTTTGCATATCACATGTACTCATATACATAAAACAAATAGGAAAGTTTGGTTTATTCGATTCAATTTTCTAAAGTGAAAAAAAAGGAAACCAAACAGTAACGGTTTGGTTTGGTGTTTTACATTTAGTTTTGATTTTTTCACATTTTTTTTGTAGCTCGTTCCGATCGATTTCAATTTGGTTTGTAATTTTCCCAACCTAGCCCTACTTGTTGCCACCTCATGGAGGTGAGAGAGATTGCGAGAGAGATCAGATGATGCTGATCGAGGGAAAACGAGAGAGACTTGAAGATCAAGAGATGGAGTACTAAAGAAGGGAGAGAGATGTAGAGCTTTAGTCGCGGGCTTCAAAAAAAATAGTTGTGGGAGTGCCCGGGGTGGGCGTTCCATATATATATATATATATATATATATATATATATATATATATATATATATATACCCACTCTTTCCAGTAAAAATGTAAGGCATTTTTGAAAAATCAGCACCACTCTTTCTCTTCCTTAAATATGCCCTAAAGTCAAAACAAACAAAATAAAATGGGACAGAGGGAGTAACATTTTTCATGTTTCCATTACCTTACAAGTCAAAGTGGACTGCCCCCCTATATATTTTATATTTTTATATCTAATTTCGGATAATGACAAATAGAATAACCCGAACCCCTTTTGTTTTATCATGATCCCGAATATTAAGGGACAAAGAAGGATAAGTTTGTAGCCCGAATCATTTGAAAAAACGGTACAAAACGTGGGACGGTATAAAACTTGAACCGTCCCAACCCGTGCTCGCCCCTGATTTGTAATGTGAATGCATTTTAATTCATATTTGGGGAATAAAAACATTATTCCTATAGAAGGTTTTCTATATTTAGTGTTCTATTATCAAATATTCCATAATATATTTGTGGTCTTTTTCTATATTTACTAGAACGCCCACCCCGGGCACTCAAAAACGTTGCCTTACTTCAACCCTTCAATGCATTCAAAATCGTCTTTTCCCAGGTATCAAAATTGTCACCCTTCAATACATGTTTTGTCAAAGAATTACCTGGTCCCTCGGAAGGATGAAGATAATATTCTGAAGAGGAATCATGGATCAAACGTGTCTTTTTAGTTGTAGAAGACATGGCATAAAATTTCCTGGTGCCTGATGCTTGTCCGATCGCCGAATAGAAAAAGAAAAACCAAAAAAACAAGTGCTTAATGCTTGTCCGATCGCCGAGCAGAAAAAGGAAAACCAAAAAAAAAAGTGCTTGATCTCAATATGCCAAGGAAATTGTCGTCCCACGCTATTGCAGAACATCAAGCAAACGCACGATCAAAAGCAAATCAATCGGCAAAACAGAGCAGAAAAACACAAAACCGCTCCAATACCATGTAGAAATTTAGCGGAAACTGATCTCCCTTTTCATTAAACGTAAAGTAATATATATACAAGTATGTACCGGGCTAGATTGTAAAGGCCCAAACTATGCTATTAACCAAAGATAACCGCTAACTGTAAGTGGCAAATAAATGATTGACACATGAAAGACCCTACACGGTATATTTTTTTGTCATTGTAGTATCCAAATAATATGCCTAAACCATAACATTGTTACATAGCCACACAGGGAGTACTTTGTATTACAGATATAACAATATGGCCATAGCCTAACAAATACATATACTTTGTATTATACAAATACAAATACAAATACTAATAATAATAATAATGGCCATAGCCTAACCACAAAATGAGTACAATGTTGTTATACATATATACCCCCACAAAATATATAAATACCGGAGTATATAAAGTCGTGACAATGTCGTTCCGCGGGATACCCATCACTTACCTTCTCAACCAGATTCCTTGCGGACAGCGGGTCCCATCTGGACTCCCATGGAGGAGCCGTCAGTTGAACCCTCCTCCTGCTTGGCGGCGCCCATTGCAGCGCCTTTCAGCCCCTTCCTATGTTTCACCTTATGAGCCCAATTCATAAGGTTGGCTTGCAGATGCTCGTCAAATATCGATTTCTTGAAATGCGTCCCCATCTGCACGCATCACAATTCACACACACACACACACAATAAATGAACGAATATGTTGGAGTATATATTATGTAACATTTCACTGCCTTGTTGAGTTAGAGGTCACGAGTCACTCTCTTTTGATATACGCATAATGATTACCTGTGTAACTATGGCATAGAGTGGCAATGTGCTATAACTGCAAAGCACCTGAATAATTACACTGGAAATAAAGCAAAAAGTAAATGCATTATCGTCGTGTTCTATCTTGTCACAACTTTAAAATACTAAAAAAGTAAATGATTTTTTATTGTTGTATCGTATTGCCTTACCCTATGACAAGCCTAGGGACGATGAATCGGACTTGCCCCATTATGCAAGAGTCGAAGCCGTATGTTACCTAATAGTGATTTTAACAAAACAAAACAAAAAGATTGAGAGAGATATCAAAATTGAGGCACTGTAGTGAAGAGCTGAACCACAAATGAAAAGCAAAATACAAGTGTTTACCCATATCCAGAAGAAGAACGCGATTTCGAAAGCATTTTGGAAAAGAATGAAGTGTATGAGAAATAGAATGATTTGAGGGCGACCGAACCAGAAGTGCTCATCAGAAGGCTGCACAACCAAATCACCCTCGATCGCGACATGTTTCTCGGCGACCTCATGAGCCAGTTGCATTATTACATGCTCCAACTTT